TGGGCTACCAGGCAGGAATCAAGACTGTCAAACCACAGCAGCGCCTAGCCTTTAGTGACATGCGCCATGAGGCTCCTTCCACAAACAGTTTTATCTGCCTGAGTGAGATGCACATTTCTCACATGCCCTGCTCAAAGATCCAAGTGAGAAGATGACACTGACCCAGCATGTCTGGGGGCAGGAGTAGGCCAAACACTGCCAAGGACAGGGCCTTACTGCTTGAAAACTTGCCAGATCATTCTAACAGAGGACAGAGAGCCCTCCAGTCCCTAATCTACATGAACCTGACAAAATCAGATATTAATCCTAACTGGAGAATCAAAAGGCATCCAAAAGGAACAGCAGAGATCTGACTCAGCCCCCTGATTTTATCCATGAAGTAGCTGGGCCCTCAGGGGAGGTATCCTCTGCCTTCCAGCAGAGAGCAAGTCAGGGCAGAACCAAAACCAACACCGAGGCCCCCAGCTGCTACTCACCATGCTCTCGCCCCACTCGGCCTGATGGTCTGATATCTTTAACCAACACCATGGGCAGAGCAGAGCCCATGGGGTGAAACTTGGACTAAACTAAACCAAGGGTGAAAAACAAGGGAGGAAAGGGATTCAGTTTTGAAAAGCAGGGCCAGGGGGTGCAGGGGAAGAACATATATCTACATGCATGCACATACATACGTGTGTGTATGTGTTTACACACATGGCGGGGGGCTTGGAATTACTCAGTTATCTGAATTTTCTATTTGTAAAGGATAAATTTTTATTATTTCTGAAATAAATTTTTAAATGTTTGGTTCTTTATGCCGCGGCCTGATCGGAGGCAGTATGCCGCAGGGGGGAGCACGGTGGAACCAGCGGCCAGACAAACCTGGCTTCGAAAAGCAGCTCTACCACTTGCTAATAATGGCAGCTTGGACAAGTTATTTGCCCTCTCTGAGCCTCTGTTTCCTCATATTGACATTATGGAGATGACAGCTTTGTAAATGTGTGCAACTTTCTAGTGCAAGAAAAGAATACAGCATCTAGCAAACGCAGTACAACAGCAAAGCACACTTGAACCACACTTGTATCTCACTGCGTTTTAGTCATTCAACTACACCTCTGCCACTGAAAAGACTGTCCTTTCATGCCCATGTCATATGAGTGCACCCAAAAGCAATTCATAAGGAAACTCCATGGGATCTGGCTCTCTGGCTCATAGAAGAGGAAGCACAGACAGGGAAGCGAATGGACTGGACATTATCTCATAAGTCTCTTCAGTTCGTTTCGGTGGGGCTTTGACCAACTCAAGTAGGCTGCCAGCTGTGGTGTATAGGTGAGGAACACAATCTGAAACAGAAGAAATCTCTTCTATTTCCTTAAAGAGACAGCATTCATCGATAACAATGAGAGTTTCTGAGAGTGATCCCAACACTGTCACTTCACTATTCTCCTGCACCCTGAGCTAGTCCAAGTTCAGCAAGGGGGCAGTAACTCAGGACTGGGTTTCAGAGGACCTGTTTCTTCCCCAGCTCTGAATTACATAGGTGTGACCACACAAGTCATTCCATCTCTACGGCTCTTGTTTTCCCTTTTGTAGAATGGTAGGTTTGAATCAAGAATTTCATTTTTAAAACCAGTGGTCTTATTCCCACACACTACCAAAGCCTCCCAGAGCTGGAGCCTGAGCCCTGACAGAACACGTCTCTCTCTCCAGCAGCTCCATCTGCTCTGGCTCAACAATCTCAAGGCTCGCTTGAGGTTTCTCCTCTGCTTTGCTCCTCAGGACAGATGGCTGCTAGGCTCTCCCTTCTTCATATCCACTTCCGGCTGTCCTTGCAGACTAAACACAAGTCTCACCCACTGAAAGAAGTTTTCTGGGACTTTCAGTCTTCGCTAACCTCACTAAGTCCTGTGGATACAGATGGCTCAATGTATCCTGCTGGAGAATCAGCAAGGGCAGCATTCCAGGTCTGACTGCCATTATTACCCAACAGTGAGACATAGTCTGAGCCGTCTCTTGCTCTTTTGTGAGAGATACCACCGTCACCTATCTCCCAGAGCTGCTGGGGAAAAATGAGGTATTGACGTGGAGGTGGCCAGCACCCCGTCTAGAATCAATGAGGAACTCAAATATTAATCCCCCCCCCCACTCTCTTTTTGGTGACTGGTCTTCCCACAGGTGAGCTGCTGGAAAAGGTATTCACTTGGGGGATGGGCACAAAGATTGTGCCGGCAGCCCAAAACGACATTGGGCAAGTCACAGTGTCACTGCTGCTTAGATTTTTTTCAAATGAAGGTAATAGCACTGGTTCTCATTTCTTGTGACAGGAGGATAAAATGAGATAATACAAGAGGAAGCACTTTCCTTTGAAAGCTTGTGGCATTATTATCTTTCATAAGTCCTGGTTTCTGAGAGAAAAATCTTAAAACAACACATGAGACAGCAAGATGTCAATGTTAACGGGTGATTTGATGATGTTGGTGGAAATCCCACTCTTGGTACAGACTAGACGCGTCAGAAAGTTTTATTACTGCTCCTTGGGGGTTGCAAGGCACAGATACTGAGAAGATTAGGAAGCTTTCTTTTGGGGACATAATCACCTGGGGCAATAGTCATCTCTCATGTTTGCTTACATTTTGTAAGTAAAAGCAATGCCATAAACACCTCTGGGGGCATTGTGGGCCTCAGAATCTGGGCATAGCTATTTGACAGGGTTTCTGCTAACACAAAACTGGTGACATTAAACCTTCTGTATTTATTGTAAATGACTTGATTATCACTATGTCTTTTGCATTAAAGTATGCCGAGGATAGGGGTGGGGAGGCAGAAAAGAAAAAAAAAAAGTGCAGTCTTCAAACTAAAGTAGCTAACTTTAGTTTGTATCAATAAAAGTTATCAACACTTACAGGATGAGTAATATAAAACCATGTAAGAAAGAACCATTATACATAGCAAGGACTCAAGAATACCCATAAAGGGACATTTTAGCCCCAAATCATTTTGTGGAAAAAAATATGAAGAATGTAACTAGAAGAGGGTTTAGAAATTGATTATTTTGAAAGAAAAACATTATTCTGAGCAAAAAGAAAAAGGGCATTAATATTATTGGTGGAAAAAAAAGATTTTAGAACTATATAGCATGAAGATTTGCTTTTTTCCGTTTCAGATTGTAATCATCCATGCAGGTAAGTGGAGGTTTAATTTATTGGAGTAAAGTGAAAGAGAGGGGTGTGTACATGTTGTGGGAAAGGGGACTGTGCATTTCTTCTAATATTAGTTTACAAAGTTCACTAAGGAATAGCCCTCCCAAATAAATCACCACTCTAACATGAACTCATGTGAAAATATACTTCTTATCCCTCCTTGTTAAACACCTAATCGCATTTATAAAACATTTCAGCTTTATTAATTTGTATAAATACGCCCTTGCCGTAACTTGCAATACATTTTATAAGTGATTGGAGATTTCATGCATTACTAATTCATACATATATATGTGAAGTTTGCATTAAATACCTCTAAATAAAACCCCACTCCCTTGCTTGCTATTTTTAGAAGAAAGAGGATAAAGACAAGACAAGAGGCCTCTCATTACAAGAAAGGACCCTCTCAAAATTTCCATTTTAAGCACCAACTCACAACTAAAAACTCCTGGTACCTGGCCGGTAAGAGGCCCGAGCCTGGAAATACTACAGTAGTTGATGGGTTTTTTAAAATCACATGTTAGAACCTGGGGAAAGAGTGATTATAAGGGGCTGGCAATTTTCCAATGCTGATTCTAAGTACTCTTTTTGCTTTTGAGAACATTTTTTAAAAACTCCTTTGGCTACCAATTGTCCGTTCACACTTTTGTTTAGGTTAACGCACAATAAAGCAGGACACTGCTACAATCAAGTGTCAAAAAGACCCAAACATCCTCTTCCCTACATGATCTCAAACCACAAAACCGTTTCAGGCCTGTAAGGGTTGGGACACTAAAATACATACCTATGATAGGACCTTCCAGAAAATAGGCACACATTTGATAGCTTCCTTGGAGCACATTATGGCACTTACTACTTAGGCTGACGTTTTCTAAAACCTCTGTCCCTAAAAAGTGACATTTTTAAGATCAAATGTATATATGGTCTTACAGCTTAATTCTCAATTAAGATTAGAGACAACATTCAAAGGAACAATACATTACTGCAAAAATAATGCTTCAAGTGTAATGAATAATAATCATGGTAGGCATTCCTTAAAAGTAAGATGAAGATGACTGTGTCCTCGTTGCATTAAGAGTGCTAATAACTTACAGTTTTATAAAGTTGAAAAAGAAAAATCCTTTTCTAAAATTGTTATTATTAACCAGAGGATCTTAAAATTTTTAATTCTCTGATTATTACAGCTAATTTGGAGTTTATATAATGTGTAATCTCTCCAAGAGACAGTTTATCAAAATGCTGGGGAAATAGTAAGAAAATATTTAGGTGCTTTTGTTTTCTAAGTCTGTAAACTGCTTCTCCCCGTAGAGATACCATCCTTAGTCACCTAAACAAAGCAAAAGACTCCACTCAGCAGCGTGTCTGTTATAACTGAGAATCTTTGAACAGGATGACCTATGCCAATTTAAATTTTAAGTTTCAGTTCAGGAAAAGCAACATCTCCATCATATTTACAAGGTGATGGGAGTCACATGTTATTACTCACTTAAGTCAAATATATTCATATTTAAATGGAAATTCAACAGCACCAGATAAACACCAACCATTCTTAATCATGGTTTGAGTCTGATAACCAAAGTCTATGTCATGCAAAATGCATCTCACAGACTAACCAATGCAAAAGTGTAAGCTTTAAACTCAGTGGTGGTGTCAAACAAAAACCCCAGGAAAGGAGAGCACGGCAACTCTCCGTGGCCATAGGTGTTTTCAATCATGGTTAAACAGACAGAATGTTAAGAATGGTATAGGTTTTGTTTTCCATAGCAGGTTTATTGACACTTTTTTTTTTTTTTGTAGTAAAGTTTAAAAATCTGACACTACCTGTCCACATAGAAGGGGAAACAAAACTTGGTCAAAGTCTGTAGAACTTCCTGTGGAGAGAAAGAGAGATAATTTATACATCTAATGGGGCCAATAAATCTGACATTAACCACAGCACACAATCTAGCAACCTTACCCTAAAGAAAGAGGAGACAGATGAAGAAATATGGGCTTTATCAATTACATGGGAGGAGGACCAGGCAGTCAATCATGAGAAATAATAAACATGATCAAACTTCATTAAAAATGAAAAATTAATCAAGAACCACACATGGGCAAGCAGCAGGAGCCATGCAGGAAGGCGCTGAAGGGGGGAGGCGGTTGGGTTGCTGAGTGTTAACACCCCTCCAGGGACCATCTCCAGCCTGACCATATGGATCAGAGTGAATAACACCGAGCCACATGGGTTTGGCCTGGCAGGGCCGCTGTTGCTGGCACCATTCTCGCCTGTTACCTAGGAACAGAGGGGGCCGGGATTAGACAACGCTTCCCGACATCAATAGGCCAAATCGCAAGCAGAACAGAAAGCCAACTGGAAAATAATTGTCCCTGAACACTGTCAACTATATTTTTAGAGTTTAAAAACTTCATTTACTTACTTCACAAGGAAATTGCCATGTCTGGCATAAATTTATTTTGTTACCAAACCTTAACAATTTTAAGGATGCGCTATTTTTAGTTAAATGTCGTTATCATAATTGGACACACTTACCTGTTTGTAATTATGAAAACCCAAAGCAAACTACCAGCTTAAATGTCTTTAATAAATATGTAGGTGCATAAAACCAAGTACATTACTCAGAGGGGAGAGAGGAGTAAAAGAGAAGCATCTTACAGGCAAGTTTCACATATACAACATACATACACAGAGCTACAAATATACACAGATAATTATTACTTCCTTCATAGAATTTTTCTCTCACTTGTTCTAATTTAACTGAAGACTGGACAGTCCACAGTTGGTGTTTATATTAAGTTCATAGACCAATGTTATAAATCTTTAAAAAAATCCTTTCATGTATTTGATTTGCTTTTTTTAACTCTTAAACATCCCAACTTCAAGACAAAATGAAGAACACATTTTTCAGTCATTGAGAAGCTGGTTCAAATTAAAACAAACCTGCCCACTGCAAATCCTAATCCAAGTGATAAATTAAAGATCAGTTTACAAATGTAGCACTTTTCTAACCAATAATAATGAATTATCAATGCTAACTGAATTGATGCTTTTCGCTTCATTTATTTTTCAAACCAGTTCTATCATTCAAGAAATAAACCACATCAATCTAATAACCCACTCAATGAAGCAGAAAGCACCGGACGCACCCTCCCAGAGCATGTTCCGCCTACATGATTCAATTGAGCATATCCTATTTTTTAATATCATTTGGACTGGTCCTGTGTATCACAGTGTTGTTAAGGCATGTCAGGAAGTAGTAAATGACTAGGAAAATGAAAAATGAAAAAGAGTGGGAAAGAACACTCGGGCATATTCTAAGAGGCCTCCTGGAAATATTAGTTCATGTCATAACGTGGCATTCAGAAGTCCTTATTTCTGGTTTTACAGCTCACTATGCTTAAAACAATCACAGTGGCTAAGACAGAGTCAGAAAAGCTGGGGCTATTTCTCAGTGCAGTGTTATCAGACAAGTAGTGAAAAAGAGATCACCTAAAACAGTCGTGCTAATGTGCATTTTTAATTATAAAATATACTGCAACCAACTCTTATAAGTTACATATCCCAATAAAATACCTTACAAGCTCCTATTCACTTCAAGTTTAAATGCCACAAAGCATCCCTTTGACTTCATAGTCCATGTACCGAGCATTCTTTAAAACTCAGTACCCAGTGCTCACTCAATGCCAACAGCGACGGTTATTGGAGAACAAAGGCAGTTCTCCTCTGCCCCTCAAAAGTTACAGGTGTAGAAACACTTCTCTTCTCTATGCTGGAGTTGAGCTGCCAAAAGACCTCAAGATTTTTGAAAGAAAGGACCCCCATGGCTGCAAAAAAGCATTGTGCTCTACAGCAGAGTCAAAGAGATCTAATCTGCCCAACTTATTACTCACGACAATATATAGGAACTACTTACCACTTTCTAATGTCAAGAGTAATAACCAACCGTGAACTTGTCTGTCAGATAATATTAGAACAAATATCAAAATACCCAATGTAGGCTGAGTAAAACCCACCTCCCAAGAGCTTTCCTTTTTACCCAAGAAAGCAGTGATAAGTCTAATTAAGCAAAGGGGGAGGGGGGAGGAGAGAAGGGAATATAGGCAAATGTTTGTGCACTACAATATGTTTCTTCATGTTTGTGATATTACAAGAGCTTGATATTCCAATTTAAGTCAAACAAGACAGTGGTGTGCTGTCAGAGGAGAAAACCAAAATGAGCATCTACCCTGTGTTAGGCATATTCACACATTATCTCAATCAAAACTGAAAAACAAATCTACTTCTTAGTTTGGGAAGGGAAGGACAGGAAGAGGGAGGGAAAAACAAGCCAGGTTTCTTGTAAGTAAAACTGATGAAACCCACCAATTCTCTTAATACCAATGTTTTCCTTATAAACTTTCAACTACCTTATCCTCTTTTTCTAACAAAACTCCCACAAATATGGGAATATAAAAGATACCGCTCCCAAGAGAGGGAATTTTAAAGACCTGATTTAAATATATATTTGGGCAGTATACTTACAGAGAATATCTTTCTATAATAACGTTACTGAGACGATAATCACCAGCTAGGCACCAGTCCCTTCTCTCTCTAGAACCTGTTTTTTTGCTCAGGAATTTTCTTTGTAGATGGTAATTTTCCTGCTTTCTCCCCCTTTCTCTGGGCTATACAAGCTTTTTCAGATAACCAGTCTCAGTACAACCTCAACTACTGCCACATAAATCGGATCTTTGAGATACAGCACAGCTGATGAAATGTAAATGACCTCATTGCAAAGGCAGGGGGTGGGGAAGATCATGCCCACTCTCTAGATCAATTCCCAAGATTATATTTTCACAAATCTTTTTATGTACAGTTTGATTTTTTAACATTTTAATGAGCAAAAAAAAAAGTGAATCTATAGTAGCCAGCCACCACAGTTAAAGTGCAGGGCATGAACTAGAGCCCAGGGGAGCAGTCCACCGTGTCACCACTGGCTTTAGGACATTCGCCACCTGGCTCCATGTCCCCAGGTTCCAACTCTTTTCATAATCAAAACACTGCTGACATTATAAACCCCAGACGGGTTTTCTAAAATCCCTCCCAATCAATATATCCAACACATAACTTATTGGAGACAACACTGGGCTCATTGATTAAGGTGAGTTCAGTAGCAAAGTTTTCAAAATAAATGAGACAAGAATATAGCATTCAACCCCTTTGTGTCACCAGACAATTTATGAAACAGGCAATTTCCAAAAGGGCTTTTCTTTCTAACAAAATATATGATACTTCATGTGGGAAGAAATAAGAGCAGGGGAGGCAGGGGGAAGGCGTGCAGGGCAGGCCATGGCACAGACCTTTTAGTTCTGCACAGATTGAACAGAGCTTACACAGCATCGTGGAAAAGCAGCTACTACAAAACCCTGCCCACCAGGAGATACCAGGCCTCAGAGTAGACAGCAAAGATGTGAAAACAACACACCCCAACACTGTATTCACTTGCAAATGAAAATCAGAAATGAACTTGAGATTCATCCAGGATCTCCTTTAGATTCTGTTCACCAGTTTGAATTTTCATCCATTCAGATCAAGGTAACTTAATCCAATCTGGAGAAAGTCTGTAATGTTGTCATGAAAATGGGTCTTCTCTTAAAATCCTGGTAAAGTTTTACATTCATCATGTTATCCATCATAGAATCCTATCTGGAAGCACAACTTGGAAGATAAAATTCGACAGTTAACCAGTTCATCATGAAAAGGCTAAACCAATTCACCCTGAATTCGGGGTGTGGCAGGGGGTGTATAAGAGATCCTGCAATCACTGGTTCAGATGTCAAATACTTTGTTTTCACTGCTTTACTGAGAGCCATAAACAGAAATTAGTTGTATCTGGCAGATGAAAACAACTGACCGTTAGGCACCAACATACACACCCCACAAATAAATGCCATCTGAAAGACAAAAGCTCAGGCTGATCACAATGCCCACCATGGTAACAATGTTGGGAGATGAGGCAGGTCCTCAAACTTCAAAAGGAAAAAGAAAATATGTGCAGGAAAACATTTAAGTGAAGGAAAGGGATAGATGGAATAAGTGAATGCATTTTAAAATATGTAAAGCCAAAAGCAGTCCCTTTGTCACTTACTGAAAGCCAGTACAGCACTGATAATTTACCGTTGTCCAAGAAAAAAGAATGAAGGAAGGGAGAAGCAGGGAGACGGTGGCAGAACACTTCCTGAGTTTCTTCTATCTAATTTATTAGTTCACTTCAAAATGTTGACGTGTGTGATGAAAAGCTTAGTGGAGCTCAGATTCCTAAAATACTCTGTTTCTACACTTAATTTTTTTAATAGCATGAGGGAAAAGATGCCCTCTAAGTCCTGCAACTGAGATCAGTGCAGCTAACTTGAAAGAAAAGCCTTTGATGAATGATCTTAAAACTCAAGTCGAGAGTTAAAAACAGAACACACACAAAATCCAAAACATACAAAAAGCTAACAAAATTTCCACTTTAAGCCATTTCAAGTTAAAACCAGAGACTCCAAGTGAAAACTAGTGGAGGTTTCTATGTTTATGATTAAAAAGAGGTAAAACTGAATGGTAAGTAGTTCTCAGAAGCTTAATTAGCACCAAGTTCAAGACTGTTGATCAGAAATTTCCTGCATTAGGAAATGCAGTTTTTCTCCTTCACTATAAATATCAAATTAAATCCAAGATCCATACCACAGTTAGAAGCAAACTTTATTTTTTTTCAGTGAGGAAAGGCTTTGAATAAGGGATTTTACAGAAAGGCTTTTCAACACCGGAACATAAAAGCCGGGTCAGATTTCTAGCAACGCTGCTTAAATGCTTGAGTCTGCTCTCTTCTTTGGTATATTTCAATATTTA